TTGTTGACAACCTTAGCAGTATCTGTTAACAACTAACTTTATCGGATAATATAACTTCTAACTATAACTAACTAAACTATAACTAAATAGTCTTAAAATTAATCTTATATAGTTGTTAGAGGTTATATTATCCTATAAAGTCAATTGTTAATAGATACTGCCTAGATTGTCAACAGCTCTCTTTGGGTTATTAATACTCACCATTGAGGTTGTAAATGGATCTTCGCATTAAAATGTTGCTATAATCCTATTGGGTTTAGTTAAAATTCTTAATGATATCAAAAAGCTTCCCATTTTAGTATTAAAGTTGTTGTATTATACTATTTGGTTATAATTTACTCTTATGCGGAGGTTATATATTCTATAAAGTAAGTTGTTAACTGATACTGCTTAGGTTGTTAATGCCTTCTCATTCGGTTGTTAATAGTCACTGTTGAGGTTGTAAATGGATCTTCGCATTAAAATATTACTATAATCCTATTGGATCTAGTTAAAATTCTTAATGATATCAAAAAGCTTCCCATTTTAGTGTTAAAGTTGTTGTATTATATTATTTGGTTATAATTTACTCTTATGTAGAGGTTATATAATTCTATAAAGTAAGTTGTTAACGGATACTGCTAGGGTTGTTAACGCCCTCTCATTAGGTTGTTAATAGTCGCTGCTGAGGTTGTAAATCGTAATGACAGAGCAAATGTGAATCTGGAATATGAGGGGCAGTAATGTCATTTTACAAAACGAAAATATTACTCTGAGGTCCCTTGGGACCTGTCAGTGATTTTGACATTTCGTGGGATCTTAGAGTAATAAATTGCCTTCTGTGGGACCTGTTAGTGATTTTCCCTTGATTTTTTCCCCTCAAATGATTGATTTGATTGAGTTGGGAAAAAAAGATTTCATTAAACCCTAAATTCTTGAAATTTAAACTAAAAGAATTTAAGACATTAGATCAGAAACTCAACTCAGAACACAAGAAACATGCTTCTATCATAGAAACAAAACGATAAAATAAAAACTTGAAAACAAAAAACTCAAAAAAAAAAAAAAGATGATAATATCATGTTCGAAGTGAACAACGAATCGGAGTTTTGGTTTTTAACATGAGCCAGCATTATTTAAGCGCTTGATATATTGTGTATCGTATTTTTACATATATATATATATACGTATGTATGTATGTATGTATTGACAGAATTGTCATGAGGGAAAGAGAAAGTTTCACGGGATGTCAAATGATGAACTTAAAAGGATTTCGAAGCTATCAAACTTTCTTTATGGACTAACGTAGGCTGGCGTATTCTGTAGAATTCTAATCATTTTTGGGTTATAATTTTAAAGGCTAGATAGTTCCCTAAATGTGGGTTTCTTGAAGGGAAAAAATTTGGAGTTTGTAGTTATCAAATACATCAATTGAAGGTATGCGTGGAGATGCATTTTATAAAGGAGTTAATAATATAACGTTAACGTTGTAAAAAGGCAAAACTATTTTTAAACCAGTCAAAACTTTCTTGAATATGATAATGTGGCATTACCGTTGGTGAATTAAATGCAAATTCCAGCTGAGAGACCTTTATTAGAGAGGGGGATTTACAGCATTAATAAGGACTCAGTAACTTTGATCAATTTAGCGCCTTATTTATTTATTTTTTTGGGAAATTTAACTTTTTTTCTTAAATAATTTATTTCACTAAATTCTAAATTGCTGGAAATTAAACCAAAAGGATTTAAGTCATTTAATAAAAATAAACTAGAAAACGAGAAACATGCTTCTGAAAAGCTGATAATATCAGCTTCGAAGGGAACAACCGGACCAAATTTTAGATTTGACATGAACCAGCATCATTTAAGTACGTGATACACACACACACATGACAGTACAAATTAGATAATCAACTTTTTTTAAGGAAGAAAAAACTCTCAGATTAGGAAACTACGTTTGTTTCCCAATTCAGAGAGGACTATACAAACTTTGATACCAAGCTTTCTCTTGAGGCCGCTTTCTATTTGTTTACTCAGAAATCTTCTTTCCCATTTCACGTTCACCACCATTAGTCTCTCATTCAACATTCAGAAAGTTAACTCATTTCAACTTTCTGAAGCCACAAACAAAGAGAGCGTCACACTTCAACTTCCACTCTCTTCTGGGGTAAGTTCTTCTTCTTCTATTCTTCTGATTATTCTAATATCTGGAATTTCGAATCAATTATGATACCAAATTCAAGTGTTATAACCAGAATAGAATAATGTCTGTTTTCATATCACATAAACAGAGCGTCCAACCGGCTGAGGAAACTGTTAAATAGAGAGCACAATTTCATACATGTTTGGAAAAATCTGTAAGCATTTTTATTTCACCTTTCTCCTCGTCGTCGTCATCATCATCACTACGGCAATTGATTGTGTGAAATGGAATGGAATGGGGAAAAAAAAATGCAATGCAAAGTCATGACCTTTCCATGATTGTAATTGAATGGGGCCTACGACTTCATCATTGGCTTTTAACCTATTTAATTTTCGTGCTCATGTTGTTGGGGAATGTGAAATTAGTTTAATTCTATAATAAGGCAAGCTTTTGTGCCATCAATTTTTTTTCCCAATTTGATTAAGGGTGAACTTTTTTTAATTTGAGTCACTTCTTGACATCAAATTGGGTTTATGTAGATTATCTTTTTGCTGAATTTCATTCTTTTGGACAATACACACACATCGGTCTTGTAGTGTCAACTTGTAGTTTTAGGATGGATTTTAGTTTCGGATTGACGTTTTACTCGTGATTACATAAATGTTATATTATCCAAAAGAGATGTCACATTGGTCTTGTAGATTATATTTTAGTGATTATTTGCATCTTTTAATTTAAGTATAGTAAACTCAAAATTACTTATACTTGGAATGATGTTATGAGAATATGAAATTTAATTTTAGCGTAAATAATGCTATGAAACACCGTTTGTATATTTTGTTATGTCTTCTTGTTGATATGCTTCTTAAGTTGTATTTAAATTTCACACAACAAAAGAGATGTCACATTGTTCATGTGTGTGTGTAGATGGATTTATCTGAAATTGTAGTTAAAGCTGATTAAAAATTGGACATTTTTGTTTGAAATGTAGAAAAAGGCAACAGTGAGAATGTCTGATTTATTGACTATAGAAGATTTTGAAGGCATAAAACAAAGTCAACATAATTTGAGCTCTTTTGAGATACTGTTACAAGTTGCTTCTATTGCTACTAAGAAGTATGATTCAACTAATATCAATAATGAAGCTATTGAGCCTAACTTTAGAAGAAATAATATATCTTGTACAAGAGCTCAAGCAATAGTAGTCAAAGAGAAGATGAAGCCTCTAAAACTTATGATAAGGAGGCGACGTAATGAGGAGCAAAATCTCATCAACTATGCCACTAAAGCCCCCTCAATGATGCATGATGTGAAAACAAAGTTTGATGAAGGCCTAATAGCCCATGAAAATTTGATTAAAGGTAATGTCTTTATTTGAATTGATGAATTGTATGTATGATTCAAAAGTTAGTCTTAAAGTTTTGTTATAATTCATTTGAATGATTGATTGCTTTCTTTGTGGAACAGAAAGAAAACAAAAGGCGCAAAACTCTGTGATAAATAAGTCTCCAAGAAGGATTGAGACACTAAAGAGAAAATTGGAAGAAACCATAAGCAATGAAGAGTGGATTATGACTATGGAAATGAAGAGAAAGAAGAACAAAGAGCCAAGTAGCCACCAAAATCCACCACCACCAAGCTTGTCAAAAGAATTTGAAAGAAAGATCATTGATGAATATGGTGGAACAGAAATCATAAGAGTCATACAAAAGACTTTGTCTGGCACAGATGTGAGCAAGGGACATAGCAGAGTCACTATTCCTTGTAGCCAAGTTGAAAGTTTCAAGTTCTTGGATGATGATGAGATGACCCAGTTAAGGTTGGGGCAATCCATTACTGTGCCTTTGATTCACACACCAAGAAGAGATGGGGAAGCTCTTCCTCTTGCAGAAACATCAATAGAATTTGGACAGTGGGATTTGCATAAATATAAGAATGATTTTCAGAAAGTAAGTTATCAATATGTGTTGAGAACTAATTGGAACACAATAGTTTTAAGGGATGAACTCAAACAAAGAGACACTGTTCAAATTTGGGCATTCCGTGATGTTCAGAACGAGCTTTCTATGGCACTTGTCAAGCTTTGAGGATGACAATGATGATGATGAAGAGAAGCAAAGTAACAAGTCAACAGAAATCAATGTAACAAGTGTTGTATGGCATTTGTTAAGATTTGGGCATTACATGATGTTCACAAGAAGCTTTGTATTGCAGATGTTAGTGTAGGACTCTACTAACACTCTACTAACATAGTCAGACTTTGGATTCCCATTAATTTCAATAGAATAAAAACAGAAATCAGTTCATTCTTCAGCTTCTTTATGAGTTATCATAGGTTAGATATTCTTTTTTTTATTATTTGCAACAATTAATTTAGTGTTCGCCTTTTCTTTTGTTCTGCTTAGGTTTTGTCAATCATTTAAGTATGAAGCAAGCTGGCATAAATCAATTAAACAAACGACTATAAACTTGTTTATTGACGATCTATTTTGTATTTGGTGGTTTAGCTAATTTCTAATGACATTAAAAATAGAATTTCAAATACCCTTACTAGTTGGGCATTGATTAATGATACAATATTGAAATTTTGAATTGAATTAAGATTGATCTATATTAATTAATCCATGTTTCTATATGTCATCTAAATCAACAAAGTATTTACATTTTTAGTTGTTGATCAATAAACCTTGGATTAATAGTTGTGCAATCCCAGTGGCATTCCCCAATCTCATGTAATTTTTTCACCAGTTTCTCTCTATTTAATCTAGCTCCCGCTAGCTAGATCCTTTGTCTGCATTTTGTTGTCATGTACAAAATTGTAAATTAAAATCAGAAAATGCCAAAGAAAAAAGGACAAGAAAAAGGAAGAAAATGAGAGTAGCAGCACTAAATCACAGATGAAAAGGATCATCTTTTGTTTTCCAAATTTGCTAACAGAATAGCTATGAATTCTCAAGTTAAGGGTTCAAGACTCCAAGCACAACAATGTTAAATAAATCTATTCAGCATTCAAGTTGAAGAATGTAAATCAACATGAAGTCTCTTAAGAATTATGGTTCAGGAAAAGTCAAAAAAAAAAAAAAAAAAGCTTATTCTATTCGAACAATCTTGTGGTTCTGGTATGTGAATTTGCAAACCTCATCAAAAAAATCATCTGCACTACTATGGCTGCTTTTCATCTGAAGAATCTTAATAACCATAGTCCTCAAACTCTTCCCATATTTCAGAAGGGATTCAAGAGTGCTCATTTTCTGTTCAGCATTCAGTGGTGATCTCACCGTGATGACAACGTCCTCCAAACATGGAATCATGAATCCAGAATCCACCTGTAGAATATATAAGTGAGCATCTCCACTAGTTAAAATGTTATAGAAGATTGAATAAAAAATTCCTAATAAATATATGAATTGTGGATAAATATTTTAAGAATCAATGTGAGGCTGAGCTGTAAAAGACATCCACAACTCATTTTCTTAATAAAGAACCTTGCAATAGAGATCAAAATGAAATCTGACATCAAAATGCTTTCGGAAATTACATGTTTCAGACTGTTTTTCTGACAAAGAGCTGCAAACATGGCTCCATGAATGTCGAATTTGTGCAGTTTGGGATGGCTGTTGAAGAAGTCAACAAAATCAATCTCTGGGAACGGTTGAAGAGCCTCAAAATCACCAGTGAATTCAACCTTCATGTAGAGATGCTTCACTTCACTTGACAGTTTCAGCATTTTGCATATGGCATCCCAGCACCACTGGACCCCTCTCATAGTCAAAGACTCTAGAGCCGTGAGTTTTCCAAAATCAACCATGTATACTCTTCCTGGAAACAGTTACCATGTAATGAAACGTAAGATGAGCAAAAATGGAAAGGAAAAACATAAGTAAGGACAACACAACAATGTACTACCTGCATTGTTAGAAATTGAAAGATTCCTCAAATGATTGGTTTCAGGTACCCGGATCCAACTACAGCCTTGTACCTCAAGGGATTCGATCTTTGGGGATTTTAGACTAAGAGAAATGTTCCCCAAACCATAAAAATCCATTTTGCATTCCTCTAGATAAGGCAAATCAATTGAGACTGATCTAACTCCTTCACATCCAAGCAGTAACAACCTAGTTAGATAGGGACATGACCGAAGCACCACACTCAGCACAGGATCCTCCAACCTAGCACCAATTATTTCAAGGTTCTTGAGGTTTTGGAAGACATCCCATTTTGGGGAATTGACCATTAACACACCCCATAGTTTTAGAGATTCCAAATTCCTTGCTGCACCCACACAGTCCAACTTTGATGGGTTCTCATTCAAAGCCTGAGTGTCAAGAATATTGTCCATTCGGAGCTCCAGCTGGCGAAGAGATAGACCTACAAGTGATAGCCAGGACGCAAGACCAGCACAAGAGAAAGGGCTATACACAACTAGCTCTTCCAATTGCACAATTTGTGATATCATTCTCCTTACAATGTTGTCAGGTGTTTCCCCACCAGAATTGTTGTCGAATGAATTGCGAGGGAAGTAAAGGGTTTTGATATAAGGCAGCGAGTCCTTCCATCTCTTGGAAACACAACTGCAGGCTGCTACATCTCGGGCATTATTGATATGGGACATGATGAATTGAAGAATAGCATCCGGAAGAGACTCCATTGCTGAAGACAAGAATGCAAATGAAAATTATCAGTACATAGATAGATCCAAGCTCATCTTTCCTAATTGGATAATAAAAATAATTCTAAATCAGTGTATGAACAATACAAAAATTGAAATGAAGACTGCTATCAGACAAAATTGCATGTATCTAGGCGAATCAGATATAAAATATCAATAGACCTACATTTACCTTGCTCTCACGACCTAGTTGAATCTCACTCTCCAAAAATATCTTACCCTCACAGTGTCCTTATAGTTTACTTCTAATGCCCTGAGGGATCTGATCCCAATGAAACTATTGAGATTTTCTATTGAGAGTACTTTTCTTGCAAACTATTTGGGAGTTGGGAACATTGAACATTATATTATAACGCCTCACTTTAATACCCCTAAATGAACTAAGACGTATGGCCAGTAATGACAGTCCTGTAAACATAAGAATTTTCCATGAACAAGGCATTCGAAGAAGTTAAGCCGAATATAACTAAAAGCAATGTTGCGCAGAGTTAAACCTTTCAAAATCTACATGTGGCTGCTCCATAAGCAGTACCGTGGTATATAAAAGGGGGAAGAAACAAAACAGATAGGAAATAATGAAATGTGATACACTCTTCCAATAAAAATCAATTTGATATGGAAAATGTGGAAATCTTTTGCTTTCAACCCTTACTTCTCAAGCATAATTACGCAAACCCCATATAAGATCTAAACCATTTCATCATAAACCAACAAAGTAACCGGCTCTCCCCACCCCATTCCCCAAGATTAAAAGAAAAAAGTAAATCCAATTTGCAAGTAAGCATGCTAATACAGGAGAAACAGACGAAGTCCAGCTCAAGCAGCAAGGAAAAGAACAGCAGAGACAGCATAGAATTGAGAAATTTCAATATGCGAATCGAGAAAAACCTGCAGTGAAGAACCCAGAAGCTCAGATTTGAGCTCGGATCTTCGATACCCAAGTCCACCCCTCCCGCCGTCGAAGGCAGTGTGTCAGACTACAAGTAAGAAAGAGAGCAAGATTTAAGCTTTGTTTTCGGGTTTTGTGTTGGCTCCTATTTCGAAATTTAAAACCAGAGCGAGGACCAACTCTGTGAAACTTGAAAATTTTGTCGCCGTCCGTAGATGCAAGCGTTGAGAAAAAAATTTAAAAAAATAAAACCAAAAAAAAAAAAGTAAAGAAGGAAAAGAGGGATGGAGCGAAATGAATGAAAGCCCGCTTTCTTTTTGAAGCATTTTGAAATCTTGTGACCGTTCAAGTAGATGTACCCCCCCCCCTCCCTCACATGCATTCCCTCTGGCTCTCATGCCGCACCCCCACACGATGCTACTCGGGGCTCCAAATGAACCGCTGCGATCTAGTGGGTACTAAAACGCTTTGTGATCGTACGGTTATCTTGGCTTTTAAATTTGAATGGCTTGAAAGCAGTGTAGGTCAGCACAAATATTGATGGTGGGTAGGAAAAAAGAGAGGGAAGATAATAATAGATTGATTGACATATCTTTATTTTTTTAAAGTTATTTGTTATATAAAGTTTAGTGTTTAATAATATATACCATGGCCAAAAATAATAATATATGGATGTTTGATATATTTATGATTGCAACACTTAAATTTTTTTTTTTTAAGTTGAGATAACACTTAATTTTGTATATAGGAAAAAGTACATTTATAATCATCTAATTTTATACAGAGTTTCAATTTAGTATATTAATTTAAAAAATATATATTTTCAATCTTACTAATCTTGTTAGTTTGTTGTTACTTTCATTGTTATTTTGAAAATTATAATTGATATATTTGTATTTAAGAATTTTTTTGATAATAGTATTAAGATTAAGGGAGTATTTGGATGGAATTTGATTTTAAAAGTGATTTTATAATATATGAAGTAAATATGTAAAAAAATTTATCTTAATTTAAGAAAAAATACTTTTAGAAAGCAGTTTTGGCAATAACTAAACACCTCCTAAAAGCTGCTTCATTCTCCATTGAAAAATAGAACCCAATTCTTCCCAACATCTTAGGACGTGTTTGGAATAGCGGTGCAAAACTATTTTTTTTCAATTTGACTTTTACAGAAGTCAAATTGAGTAAAAATCAGATAAGATAATGTGATTTATGTTTGGATTAGGTTTTAGAAAAAAGTCAGTTTGAGAAGTTGAAACTTGTTTGGATGATAAATGTAAAAGTAAATTTGGATGTAAAATGACTTAAAATAATATAAATTTTATTAAATAGTACATATTTAATATTAGATATATATAATGTGACTATTTTTTAAGAAGTAAGGAAAATAAAATTATTAAAAGTAAAGAAATTTAATTTATTATTAGAAAGAAATTATATATATAATGTGACCATTTTAAAAGAAGTAATGAAAATAAACTTATTAAAAATAAGGAAATTTAATTTATTGTTAGAAAGAAATTATATATATAATGTGACCATTTCAAATGAGGAGTGTGTGTGTTGTTTTTTTTTTAAGTGAGGTGAGAGAAAATTCATGCAGGGTCAGGTAGGTAAAAAATTTTAACACCCAAATAAATATTTTAACGGTATTTTCCAACGCCCTCAGCACTAAAAAAAAAACAGCTTCAAAAGAGCTTCTTCCAAAGTCCATTTCAACCTCAGAAGTCAGATTGATGAAATGTGAACCCAAACATGTTTTAAAGCTGCCTCTTAACTTATTAGATGGGGCCCAAACGTGATCCCAAACACAACCTTAATTTACAAACCATCAACCTAAGTCACCTTTCCTACCTACTAAAATTTATTGCTCCTTCAACCCTTTATGTATGATTTAATTATTGAGTTGATTTTTGTCTTAAATGTAAGACATATTTCTCATATTTATCAACTTTTTCTAAATCATTTTTATTAATACCCCATCAACCATAATCAAATAAAAAAAAAAGAAAAGATATTAAAAAAGATGATTATGATATTTAAAAAAAACATGTCATATCTTTTATAATTAACTTATCTAACTTTTTTAATTTAATCAATTTAATTAAATACGTCTTACATTAAAGACTAGAAGAATATTTGGGGATAAAAAAAAAAAGCCCTCACACTTTTCCTTAATCATACATATTACTTATTTAATATTAAAAATTAACAGATTATTTAACACCACATTTTGCTTTTCTTTTACATTAAAAAGACATTGAACTCCAAACATAATCAGTTTATTGAATTACTTTTTATTTGAGGCAACTAAAAAGCAGAATCAAAAAAAAATTTTATTTTTTTCCGCTTCTGAGCATCTGATGCCTCCCAATCCTGTCTGGGCAGCGCTGAGATTCAAGCCTCCTTCCACCATTTACACGTACAAAAGAAAATATCACAATGAATTCATGAAAACAATTTCTACAGTCAAATGGATATTATACAGAATACTTTTTTTTTTCCTTTTCATTTTCAGAGTGTGGATAGAGACTATAGTTGTGTGGATCTATCTATTTCCATTGCCTAGGAAGTCTCTTGATTTGGAAGATATTATACATTGGTGCCCTATCAATGAACACTCTTCTTCCATCCCTAGTTGTAGATTCATGCTTCCACGCTGGTCCAATCAACCAGGATGCAACGGCTCCACCAATCAAGCCCCCTAACTGACAAGCACATTGTCAAATTAAACATCAAAATCACTACAACATGAAGTTTTATTACCACGATACAAACCAGAATAACTGCATCTGATTACACCAAATTTACTAATGAAATACTATCTCCAGACCTATTAACTATAACTTGATTCTTATGAGATGGTTATGAGACGGGGCAATGTGATGCTTACATGACCCCAGTTGTCAATGCCATTTGATAATAGCCCAATGACCTGCAATAGATGATCATCGTCAAATCAAAAAGATGCAAGGAAACAGGGTCCTGGATCATCAAGTATCAACTAATGTAAGTAATTTTCCCCAAATATTCAGAACGAAACAAAAATAATTTCTAATAACATGCACAACATGCATTTCTTATCGAAGTGTATAATGCTAGTCAAGATATGTGAGATTCAAAAACAGCATTCTAGCAAGTAGCAAATGCTATATCTGTTCCAGGAATAATCAGGCCTGTGAAATGCGAATTAATGTAAAGAAAAAGGTAGCCAACACAAAAGGAGCTGGCCAGCTTTAGAAAACAAATCCCGAGTTACTAACTGACAACTCATTATAGTGGACCTTGAAAAGAAGTCAAGACAGGGAAAAACACTTACCATATTTAGGACAATTACATTCGCTATATGCTGTAAATCTTCTTTGCCTCCTCCTACCAGTTCTCTGTGCCTCAACACAAACACAGCAACTGATCCAACCTAAATCATGCATAGCTGATTAGAAATAGAGGATAAAGAAGAGAAAACAAACATATCCATTTTCGAGCTACTCCTACAGATGAAGGTAAACCATTGAAGTCATTGAGACAGATGCGAATGTGAACAAATTTTAAGTAAGGGGGGGAGAAATGACGCAAGTTTTCCCCAGCATCATCAATAACCATCCCTTGCCACACCATTTGCTTACCTCATATATATCATTTTCCTTTTTTTTGTCCATAGTAAAGGATCATAAAAAAATTAGCAGATGCTAGTAAGCATGACTGTCTTTAGGTATTTGATGAATTATAATAACCCCACCCTGATCATCCTTTGTCCACGCTTCTTTTCCTCCATCACTTTTTATTTGTACAAGACAGATGAAATTGAATCAGTTGTGTTTGTCATTCTGTGGTGTTAATTTGTATGTCAGTGGCATCATTATAGTCTAAACTTTTTCCAGTTTAAACATCCAATGCCATAACTGATGAGCCTTTATTCAAAGTTGATGGTTGTCGGAGATGAAGATACATATTATACTATACAAGGGCATTAACAATCTGACATAACCACGGAACTTCAGTGCCACTGCAAAAGATAAATTTTCAAAATAGTTTTTTTATCTTGTCCAATGCAATTATAAAGGGAATCAGCTCCAACAGTTGAGCTAGGGGGAAAAAAATGAAAATACAGATAAATTTATTAAGTCCATCATCCACACAGTTAAAATTAATATTTGATTTGGATCACAAAAGAATGTTTCAAACAACTTACCAGGCCGAAAATCGCCCCTGATGCACCTACGGCAGGCATTCTGCAGTACCAATAACTCATTGCTGAACCTGAGTTTCTAGAAATTATGGGATCAGAATACTTGTAGGTGAGCACCTATTGGTTTTTTTATTTGTTGAAGTAAGAATATAAGCCATTACTTGCAATTGCTGAGACAAAGTAAACCGCAAGATATCTCCTAGGACCACTGAAATTTTCCACAGTGGGACCAACGGAATTTAAGGAGTAACAATTAACCTGCAGGAAACAAGTAATAATTTTTAAGATACAGGAAAAAAAAGACATTCACAAACAAGATTCAGGCAAGAAAATCCAAACCAGACCATAAGGTGCCCAATATTTGCATGCAAAAAGGAAGAAGTGGCAAGCCTCCACAATTGTCCCTTGTCAATAAGACTGTTAATCTAGCAATACACAGTCAACAAGTAAATATGTAACAATATTAAGGAAGTAAGTTCAAATATTTAATGGCAACTTTACCTTAGCTCCCCACAATAAAAGCTTTCCTTGTGTTGCAATTTGTGCAATATACATTCTGAGATCATGGTTCATAAATAATAAGCCACTAGAATAGCTTCTATGTAAATTTGGTCCCAAAAAAAAAAGTGTACAAGACAAGTGGCAAGGAGAATTAGAATAGTAATATAAATAATAATAATAATAATCCTTAGTGGACTCGCTGTAGCAAGCTACAGGCAAAAAACGGGCAAACAAATTTTGTCTGGAAACAATAAGCATCCAGGCAAACACGCTGATACTCACAAGATATTGGCAGCAAGGAGAATATTAGTCCATTTCCTTCCATTGAATGGACTTTGGCTGGACATCTTGGAGTTAGACATCCTTCCATTTCCCAGGTTTGCTCTATGTTCTCCCCCATTAAAGAAAGAGAAACTAATTGAACAAGTGGAAGTTAAAACATCATTTGATAATTGAAGAAAATTGATTTCTTTAAACTGGAGGGCTCTTTCACACCATATATCCTTCCATCTGAATACATGATTCAAGGGAGGGAGTTTCTGTGCAAAAATGAGAGAAGAGAATTAGAATGCAACCAGAGAACCAAGAGAAAAGATGTAACAACACAATTCTAAATGGCAAAACACGCAAAAAGACTAACAGGCTATAAAAAGGAAGCTTTTTATAGCATGTTAGTTGATATGGAGTTTGGGAGAGCCATACTCTTAAGGTTAAAAGCTCACTCGTGAAATTAGAGAACCCAAGATTCATAAAAACTATACACTAGAATCCCATAATTCTAATGTGACGCCCAAGGGTCATACCTGAAGCATCCCATAGGTTGAGGGAGAGGAAAAAAGACAGGGAGAGAGCGGAGGGAAGTGCAAGGTTATGATTCCACAGATATGAACCTTAGGAAGAGCCAATCCCAAAAAGATAGCGCAGGGGATTAAGTAAACGCAGGTTCGCATAAATCCAAGATTAAAACTCCATAATTTCCAATGGGGGACTTGAGTTCCAAACCTTGAAATAGGATCCTATAACTGATAAAATTGCTAGCAATCAAGAAAATAGCTATTTTCCAATCAAAGATGCGGTAGGCACCTAAACAGCAATGGCATTCCCTTTTCCCTTTCTTTTGGGGGGAAAAAAAGAAAATTGGCATTCGCTTTCACACAGCATCACAAGCAACATGAACCCAGTAACACGATGATCATCTAACATCCCAGTTATCTAGAAACTCAACTACTATCCCACTCATGAAGGCTCGAGCAAACTTCAGCTATCCATAGTTTATTATCGAAGTCTTTGATAATAAACCAAGAATTAAGAACAAACCTCCTAAAGAAATGGATAGTCATGACACGTAACCACCGAAAGAAAAGGCGAAGTTATGTCGAACATGTTGCAATTGCAAACGCATTGTCATAGAATGCACTCTGAACTAAAGGAGAAAACAAATTTTCAAATTAAAGGGACCTTGAAACAGGACTGGAGGAGGAACCGTAGGCGGAAATTGTGGCCGAGGCGGCAGCGGAGAAAGTGACCAAAGTGGAGGGAGGTGGCGGTGGCGACGAGATCAAGCGGACAAGGACCCTCCTTGGCCACCGGTAACCAGAAAGGGTTAGGAGCAGCCGAACCCAACATGATCGTTACAAGGTCAAAGACGAAGACAAAGACAGACGTATATTCGATGCACTGGCCACCACTCAAACGAACTCAGTTCTGTGATTGATTTGTCCCAGTCCCGGTGTACAACGAAAAGAGAGAATTTTAAAAAAAAGAAAAATTAAAAACAAAAAGGAGAAAAGAATCAAGTTCTTGGGATTTGGCAATTTGCACGTTTGAACAAGAAGTAGGTGTCTTTATGCTCATTTCCCTGAATCTGTTATAAATTATAATAACCTTAGTTGTTCATTTTGTATAATTAATCGTTTTTATAAATAAAAAAAACACAAGAAGTAGCATGTCTTTATATCAAAAACAAAAAAGAAGGAATCAAATATAATTACCAAACTAGAGAAAAATAGCATTAAAATAGTTTATCCAAATTAAAGTTAAATAAAACTAAGAGATAAAACTTAAACGTCAAATAAAGTTAAGAACTTTTTTTGCCCAAAAAATGAAGTTAAGAATTTGACGCAAAAAGAAAGATAAAGTTAAGAAACTAAATTGACACCAAATTAAATTATTACACAAAATAAAAAGAAAAATTTGTCATTTCATATTGCTAGTTTTTTTTTTACTTGCATATAATAAGTATCTTTATCCTATTAAAGATAAATTTATTTGATTTATGGTGAAAAACCAAATGTGGACAAATTTTCAATTATTTTTCTAGAGAGTTATTGAAATTAGTATATTTTTCATCTAAAAATGGTACGATGCTTTTAAAGATAAAGAACTGCTCGAATTTTGATTTTTTTTTTTTTTGCTCTTTTGGCCAACATTAAGTTTAGTTTAGAGAGAGAATCACAATCAGACCTCAATGAAAATAATTATAAATAACCTTAATAAAAAATGAATAATTATTATTTATTATGAATTAACTTATCATTGCAAGGTGTTATGTTGTTATTGAAATTTTTTACTGATTATATTTTTTTAATTGATACTTCATAATAATTCACATGAAAAAATATTTTTACACAAATTCAGATAAAACTCTTTTATTATGTTGAATTCCAGCGTAAAAGCGTTCGAAAATATGCGTCCGACGGACACGCCATATGGGCTATGGCCAATCCAGAGCTGCGTGGGCCCACCGAGCGAAGATAACGCTTAAGGATAACACTTTCGTTTCCACTTTCCACCACCCCAACTCGCCTTCTCGATAACTCCCGAAATCTACCGCCATACGCCGCGGCGTGTGACGGCGAGGACGAGAATGAATCCCATAGGTTCCAGCCTTCAGTACTGGTTAGTGAACCACCCATCGATTCTCAACTTCACATGGATCCCAGGCCAAACCGTAGGCGCCTCCCCTCTCTTCCTCTCTCTCACTCTCCTCTGCTACCTCTCTCTCACCTTCCTCCTCCCTCTCCTCCGTCTCCCTCCTCTTAAACCTCACATTCTCCGATCAATGTCCGTGGTCCACAACCTTGTCCTCCTCCTCCTCTCCTTCGCCATGTCACTTGGATGTATCTTCACCATTGTCTACCATACGCCTCAGCTTCACTGGATCATCTGCTTCCCGCCCAAAACTCCTCCCTCGGGACCTCTCTTCTTCTGGGCGTACGTCTTCTACCTCTCGAAGGTTCTGGAACTCGTCGACACGCTCCTCATCATCGTCGGAAACTCCATCCGACGGCTCACGTTCCTCCACGTGTACCACCACGCGACGGTCCTGATCATGTGCTACCTGTGGCTCCAGACATCGCAGTCCTTGTTCCCGGTGGCGCTCGTGACGAACACGTGCGTGCATGTGCTCATGTACGGGTACTACTTGTTGAGCGCCTTGGGGGTCCGACCCAAGTGGAAGCGGCTCGTGACGGATTGCCAGATAGTGCAGTTCTTGTTCAGCTTCGCGGTTTCGGGTGTGATGCTGTATTACCATTTCGGAGGATCCGGATGTTCCGGGTTCTCGGGTTGGTGCTTCAATGCCGTCTTCAATGCCTCTCTTTTGGCTCTTTTTGTTGACTTTCATGCAAAGAGTTATGCGAATCGCAAGACGCGAGAAGCTCAGAAGCTCAAAGGGTCCTGATGGTGATTCCTCATCTGAACACCATTGGTTTCGTGTGTGTTAGCCCTCTCTTCTTAAGTAAAAGGCGAAACAATAGTTCGCTCTGTGCTCACCACACGGGCACGGCTCCGTGTTAGCCCTCTCTTCTAAAATGCTCTATTCAATATTGTGGCTGAAATGAAGGGAATAAATTTTTCATTGAATGGGAAATCTTTTGTTTACGAGTCTAATTATTGAGTGAGAATTCTTGATACAAAACTGCAAAATATGATTTTGTTTACTACAAAGCAATTGTGTGGTAAAGTTTATTAACTAAAACTATTATTATTAAAACAAATATCTTGAAAAATAAATAAATATGAAAAATAAAATAAATTAAAATCTTATATTTAGAACCAAAATAAAAAAACCTTGAATTGAAGACCAAAGGTAGTATCATCATTAAAATGCAGAATGTTTTTTTTCTCATGACCATATCATAACTGAGAATTTAGTCATTTAAAAACTAACATCACTTGTCAATTTCTTAAACCATTCTTGTCAGTTAGAGACTTGTTAGCTACAGGACTCTTTTTCTTCCCCTTCTTTCTTTCATTTAGCAAGGTTATTTCGGTCAATTTGCTTCACAATTTCATTTCAACTCAGTCCAAAAATATGCACTGTGGTTTTAAAATTCTTTTAGCCTAATTGGTAAAAAAATTCTACTGTGGTCCTTTACGAAAATTCCCCCCAAAAGAATAACAACAACAACATAATAAACAAAGATATACTGTATAAGCAAATCACGGCCTTTACGCATCATGATTATTGATTAGGCCAATAGAAAAAAGAGCTACATTTCACCCCCATGGACTGATAGGATTAGGCTAATTCATGTGAGCTCTTCAGCAGCCGCAGAAATGAAATTTCATTTTCACTGTATATTGCCATCACAGTCTCATCCTTTGTATAGTTTTCACAAAGCTTCATTCTCCAACTCATATTTAACTCCTCTCAAGCCCATCAATTATCAGTCGCTCAAAAACCTGCTTGGTAACCAAGCATGAAAAAGCCAATCATTCCAAGAGATGAGAAGGGGATGATCCAATTAAAACTGGGAAAGGGAAGGCATACGAATATTGACTCCCAACATATATTACAAGAAAACAATTTCACGTCTTACAAATCCTTTCTTGCTTTTACTCATAGTCTCAGTTTATATCTCTCAGCAATATTTTCCCAGCAAAACACCAACTTTACAGAAATCCCACTTTTAAAAATGCGTGCTAAGGCTTCACTTGTACAATCACCTTCAAGATAACAGCTGTAGAACTGTATTAATTACCAGTGTTGGACAAATACAGGGGTCAAAAGTCAACTCCCTGCGGTAGTTCGTGCTTTCACCACTAAATCATCAGCAGTGTAATAATCAGCTATGAGCCGGTACATGTATGATGGGTTATGGCCACCTCTGAAAAGGCAAGGTAAATGCATAAGGAAAATGAGTATAATTTTTAAAGAAGTTGACGATAAAGGAAAGCTAAAAATTATTTACTGAAACCCAGTTCAACTTACGTGTCAGTAATGAAGAGACTAACAAGCTTCGGTGGCACATAATCAAATGTTGGATTAACGACATGAAGAGAACAAGTGCCACTTGCAGCATCCATACAATCTGAAAATTCCCCAAAATCGAGCAATTCAGAAGGAGACCTCAGCTCATTCAGCAAGACCTCAGGATTGTGTGGATACAAAGGACACAACTGTCAAAATGAAAGAGCAGTTTTCAATCACCGAAACTATGAAGCATATAAAAAATAAATTTTATAACCAGACTATGGCATTAAAGACTGCCAACTCATAATATACTGAAACCCAGGGAGCCACTAATTAAGGCAATTGCATTAGCATTTTACCGTCAAGTCACATCCTAACTGAACCAACGACTAGGATGGAGCTATTTGTAAAAGTGTTAGTGTCTAACAATCACACTGACCACTTAGGCAATATACTTTAGCAAAAGCATTTGAATTTAAAAATTAAATCAGCAACCGCATACCAGCATTCCTGCCCCAAAGAAAGGAAATTACAATACATACCCTGTCAGCAGAATAAACACGCTTGAAAGCTAGATATTGAACTTGTTTTCCAAAAGAAAGCAAATTAGACATGGTCTAGATTAATTTTACAGTACGACTATGACAACCGTCTTACATTAAATGTTTACAAACTATTTGAAGCTTCAGTAGAGGTGGCAGAGAAAAAGAGTATTCTTAGTGATCATAAAGATCTTAGGTTTTGTCATGTACGCAGGAAAAAAACACAATTCCGTAGCTCAAAATGGACATGGCTATATATAAAATTAGTGTCCCAAATCAAGCCTCTGAGCAAACAATTATTCACATACGTCCCTTATACCACTAAGGCAGTCAAGTGTCCTCCTATTTCAAATATTTAACCGAGAAAGATATATAAACAGACATCACAAAGTGAAAAGTCATTATAATTTTGTTGCATTAATATGACAGATGCAAAGAAGATGGATATGATATTCTAATAATTCACCTTGTGACTTCCAGCAAGTACGACAAAAGGAACAGCATGCTTTTGAGCTGCAAGTGCAACCATATTCAGCCCAACAGGGGCAATAACTCCCCCATTAGCCATGACAGCATGAGCTCCAACTATAACCTATATAATTTTAAATTCAAAATCAGTTCAAATTTTAGTGTAAAAAGATTCTATTCCAGATTCAGAACAAGAATTTTCAAGTACCATGTTTACTCGGGATATCATGGCAAAAACTGCAGAATCAGTTATTACTGTGGTTTGTAAGCCTCTTGCTGCCAAATCTTTCGCAAGTAGATGCCCCTGATATCTGATTACACACATATTCAACATTATTAAATCTTATAAAGACTACATGCAAATTGCCATTGCTACCAGAAAAAAGGCAGGTTGCATTCCTTGCAAATGTTAGTTAGCAACTGTTACCAACCTTGGGGCACCCTCGGCAACAAAGACCCGAAATGATCTCTTCTTCTCCTTTGCAGCACAAAGAAACTCCAGCACTGTTCTCGAACTTCCTAGTGTTAATATTACCTCACTGAAAAACATGCACTCAGCAGTGTAAAGAAATAAGGAAAACTGATGACTTGACATGGCAAAACAGCACGTCAATATTATTTTAATTCATTTCAAATAAATTATTTGAAAGAATAAAAACAAAGATAATTAAACCTTTGATATTTACGATTAAGAGGAAAGGGGAGTTTAACTTCACACTATCCATATATCAATAACTGCCTCTATTAGTTTAAACTTTTCGTTACTAATTGATATGCTTTTGGCTCTTAAATATCCATTACAGACCCTAACATTAAGATGAATCCATTGAAGTTGCCATTCTCTTTCCTTATCTAACATATATCAGGTGCAAGAAAAGAATTTTATAAGAGAATGCATTAACACAATTTTTCTTCATTTTAATTCTAATATATGACACTGACACATTCAATCTTTAACTTTTGACCTTTGACTTTCTAGAAAACAGTCAATGTATTTTTCCCTAGTTAATTAGAGCTTGAGGGAAGTAAATATTGCTCCTACAACATCTTTTCAACCAACATGGCTTTCGAGAATAGCAAGAAAATCTAAAAATAATAACATTCTCTTGGAGCACTAGGGAAAGAAGTACTTTTGATGTATGTGTTCTACAGCTTGCTCTGCTATTTGCTCATGGCAAGTGGCAATATCTTGAATAAGATCATTGACAGCTTCAATGACATCATGTTTCAGCTTCCGGCCTCGGGAACCTTTGTCTGCTGCTGTAAGAGAATTAAAAAATAAATACAAAACTACAAGACACAGGCAACTGAATGATAAGAAAACAGCAGCATTTTCATCATAAAATGAGACATTGAGGCATGGACTCAGTCTTAGTCAAATCAGTGTCAGTGACTTTTTGTTACAGGCAGATAAATCATCTAGTAGTTTGGATTCAAGTTATGGCATTCTTATATCATGATAAAGTCAATACTTAAGTAAGGATATAACATTCTCATAGTCTGTCATCTCACATCTACTTTTTCCTTCAGATTCACCCCCAGAAGAAGAAGTGGGTGGAACAGCAGCTGAATCAGGCAAATCCTCTAGAAGAGTTTGCAGTGATGGTGGACGCAAAGTGCTTCTCGCAGCAGCAGCAACAGCAGCTGCAGATAGAACAGGATGATCATCTCGCTCCACATCATCTTCATCGTCACTTCCTGCTGATATTCCCAAACCAGCAATAGCATCTGTTGCAAGGGAAAGATCTTCCTCCCTTATAATGTGCAAAACCCGCCTTACTATATTACCCACAGCTACCTCTGCAATTACAAACATACCACATAATGATAGGAAAAATGAATATAAATATCCAAAATTAACAACAACAACAACAACAAAACATCACAGTAGGAATCGAGTCATGGGATGGTTTTCAAAATGGCAAGGACTCTAGCTTTCAGAAACAAGCTTGTTGGAAGAAGTGGGTTTAGAGGAATCACTGGCTTGGAAATCCATGGCATTGGGCCAGGCAAAATGGCTCAGCCAGCAAAAAGTTTAGGAAATGCACAAGCTTGACTATCCTCGTTTGATAGTTAGTGATACATCCTATAGAAGATATGTAAGTTAGTACAGACCAAATAAGGACCAGCCTCATGTTAACTACACAATAGAATCAATTAATATAATGTGCCAAAGATGATGACTGTCTATTACCACCCCTGAGGCAATCCAAAAATAACAACTTGCCTACATTACAAAACATTCACAAATGCTGCACATTACAATATGATGATCTAAAAAAGCATCTAGAAGACATGCTTCAACTTACACAAGCAATCGAGTAGAAAATAGGCCCAATGGATACTCATCCGAAACAAAAAATCTGTTCAAGACACAAATTAATTTTAAAAGGAAGCTATATTCGCATACCAACAGGATTTGCAGCAATGAGCTGCTCCCCAACAGCTCTTACTGCATCTATCAGAGCACCAGCTTGATTTGTGTAGGGCAATCGCTGTTGAGAAATCACAGACCTAAGCACCTCTGCTGTCTGCTTTGCTGTGGCCTGGGAACCTTCAATTTTACTACACCACAGATTAAAAAAAATACAGAAATTAGTTCTCAATCTCACAAGATGGAATCCAACACTATACTCATTCAACTCTGTCAGTGATAGTGAAGAAAATTTACCGTTTCTTAAGCTGATTCAAGAAATCGTTAACAAGGGACTGAACATCAGGCATTGTGATACTTGATTCAACCTGAAACACAAAAAATGTCAGGGCTGTACATGACTATACACTAAGGTTATGCTTAAGCGTCATAACAGCATGATGGGTCTTCACCTCAAGTTCCTGTATTGCTTATATTATTGACAATATTTGTAATAGTTGCTGTTGCTAAAAGGAATTTTTCAAGATTAAAATTGTTCAAATCCTATTCAAAATTAACCATGTTACAAGATAAATCAACTGAATAGATTAACCATCGATCCTAATAATTTTTCGTTAGGCCTTAAAACGGCCCCGCCCATTTAAAAAGGCTGCTTCCTCTCAATTTGAACGTTTAGACTTTGCTGGTAACTCATAGCTCCTATTTGAAAGTCACCAGTTTCAAAGTTTAAACCTAAAGCGACCAACTCTTCAATCTCCCTTGAAGTTTTCCTCTTTAAAGACAAAACTCCAAAGCAATATCGTCAATTCACTCATTCGAAGAAAAAGTGTCACTCTAAAATAACATATAGCCTATATAGACATTAATCTAGAAGACCAGAACAACAAAAAGAAACCAATTTAGCCTAATACTATAATATAGTATAGCAGCAGAAAGTGGAGAGGAAACATAGCAACAAAAACAGAGGCTGAGATTATGCCATCACAGTCGCAAGATTGAAAACCTAATGGAGATTTCTGCCTTTCTACCTATGAATCACAAGAATCTGAGACTCAGATTAAGCAAGATTGCTCCCTTTCTGGATGAGTCACAACAGACGGAGCCGTGAGTGACAGACGCAGACTGAGACTAGACGGAGACGGCGTTCATGGGCGCGGGTGGATTTCACGTCGTAGGTTAAAATAAAACCTAAATCTAATTTAATTTACATAATTTTATGGATATATGAGCAATTTAATAATAAAATTTCTAAATATAAAACCAATTTTAAAGTAAACCAATTTTATAGACAAAAAAGAGTACTATATTACATTATGTATTTGTTAAAAGGGTTAATACAATTTGAGTCCGTCAAGCTTGCCCTAATGTTAGATTTAGTTACTTAAATTTTAAATTATAAGTTTTGATCTTTTAAATTTTTTTTCGGTTTAAAACATTAATACATATAATTTAATTAAAATATGGATATTAAGAGACTAAAATTTATAATTTGAAACTCAAAAAACTAAAATCAAAATTCATACAAAATTTGAGGAATAAAAAATTATATTAACCCTTGCTTAAAAAAAACTAACTAAAGTGATATCAACATGTCAGACTTTATGGACTTAGACCTAATAATGGATCCGTTTGGCAAGGTTTAATTTGGGCTTAAAAGCTACTTTTTTTACTTATAAGCCCGATTGGCTGAGAGGTTGTGTTTGGCTAGGCTTAAAAAAAACAGCAACTTATACACTTTAAGCTTCAAAACGTTCAGTCTGTCTTAAGCTGAATTTTGTAGCTTATTTCCTTACTGTAGGAGCTTATTTTTTTGACCGTTGAATAGGGGGTCATTTTCACGCTGGGGCCTCTGTCATTTTTCGTTTGGCTGGTGAAGCTTTTTGCGAAGGCGAGGATCTAGGGCGCCTGGTTTCCTGAGAGCATCCGTAAGCCATATGGCCTGGCCCCACGACGTTTGAATAATGCTAATAATTAAGAAAACATCGTACTTAACTTTTCGTTTGGAAAAATAGAAAATAAAAACCCCTAATATAAAAAATTATAATTTGTAATTCTTAATTTAAAAAATAGTAAATAAAGACCTGATTTTATATTATAAATATAAAATTTTGATTAAATATCTGAAATACTTCTCAAACTATAGGAAATGACAAATTCAATTTAGCAATATGGGATTAAATTTTTATTTGTTATTTTTCAAGTTGAGAATATCAAATCGTAATTTTATATATTAATGGGTTTTTGTTTGCTACTTTCTTTTTTTGTTTTACCCTTTTTTGCTTTTTTTTTATTTTTAATATTTTGCCCCCAAGGCACGAAAACAACCGGCATTCTCAGCCGAAAGAAAAAATCTTTGACTTGCTAAATTATTTTTTTCCCATTTTTTATTATTTATTAAAACCCATACCCATTTTGGTCATTTTACAATCAAACTTACTTTTACTCAACCATAATCCAAACAACTTTTCACCAATTTCACTTTTGCAAATGGGTTTTTCTGAACTCCAATCCAAACACAATTCAGCTTATCCAATTTAGCTTTTACCCCACTTCACTTATCCATAAGTTGCTTTTTCAATAAGCAGCTTTTCCAATCGCTCATCCAAACGGGCACAATATTGTAGTTGTACTTAAATAAGTGCTTTTATATTTTACGAGACAAGACTCTTTCCACGTACTCTTTTGGTTGTATTTATAAAATTAAAAAATGTTTTATTTAATCATATTTATAAATCATTTTATTATATTTTTATGTAAATATATAATTTTATCTTTTATTTATTATTATGTAGTTTGTAACTTTTAAAAAAAGTATATATATTCAATAGGGGCAATATTAGAAAATTATTAAATTTTAAGTTAGAGTAAATAAGATTTAATTTTTTATTCAAGTAAAAATGCTAAAAATGCTTTTTAAATAGAATTTGAGGAGACTAATTAAATTTTTGGATGCAAAATTGCAGTATGATCTATGTCCGCAAATGAACAATGTTCTTTTGATCTCGTGTTCTTGTTGGCGGGTGGACATCAACAAGGACCTAAAATTTTCGGTCCAATTTACTTCCGATCTCAAGTCTTCTTTCTATGCTGAATATTTCAAAACCTCAACAAAGTCATACAATCCTTCTAAACCTCAATCTTTTGTTCCAAATGATACACTAACTGTGGTTATTTTTATCAACATTAATTATAGCAAATCCATGATGTTAGAAGTAAATTTTTACCTTTGACAAAAAAAAACAGTAAATTTTTGCAATTTTATAATATGATTTTATTTTATGAGCTTGTATCTTGTGAGTTTATTCCAACTCATGAGTTAAACAATCTTATTTGGCACTTCCTCTCCAGTGATTACTTACAGGTTTGAACTCATGAGAAAAAATGGATTCAAAATTCAAAATCAGAGACTTTTTTTTTTGTACAACCATTTTATGCTAGGCAGAGATATCAAGCCTGTTTGGCAAGGCTTATGGGCTGAAAAAATGTTTGCTACAGGCGTGATTGGAAAATTATTTAGTGTTTGGTTAGACTTAAATCCAAAATGAGCTTATCTAATTTAAGCTGGCAAACGTATATTGTGGAAGAAGCTACTAGATCTGGCTTATTGGATCAGTGATTGGAACTTATTTACCGTTGTAATATATCAGGCTTTATTTTTTTCTGAGTTCAATGGTCCCTAATTTAAAGTCACTAGTGTTGGAGAGACCAGAGTAGAACAAAACAAGACGTGTGAAGGGCTTGGGTGTTTAGCCAAAACACCAAGATGCATTTTTATTAGCATTCTTTTTTAATAAAAAAATGTGTAGTTGCCAAAACAACACACCACGTAAGAATAAAATGTCACAATGAAAATGACTAAAAATTTATGATAAAATTAATAGAATGTGATTGCCCGATTTATTCATGTAAAATTTTCATTTACTTTTTGAATAAAATTGACACTTTATTTAAAAAAAAGTAATATAAAAAATAAATAAAAAAATTATAAATATTAAAAAAATTAATTAAATTACATATTTGTGATAAATATGTCTTACTTTCTCTCAAGTTATATATAGCTAATAGAGATATTTTATGAAAGAAATTATAAATTTAAGAGACAAAATGGATTAAGATATTATATTTAGAATCAAAATAAACTTTTTATTATAAATATTTTTTATGATTTCTATAAAGTTTTAAAATTTAATTCACTTATTAAATTTAATTTCTTCATATTAAATTATTTTAATTTCATTATATTATGTGAAATCAATTTTTTTAATCATGTTTCATTATTTATTAAAACTTATACCCATTTTGGTCATTTTACAACCAAACTTACTTTTACTTAACCATAATCCAAATAACCTTTTACCAATCTCACTTTTTCAAACTAATTTTTCTGAACTCTAATTTAAACACAATTCAACTTATCTAATTTAATTTTTAGCTAACTTCACTTCTTCATAAGCCAAATTGATAATAAGTTGTTTTTTTAATAGCTAATCCAAATGGACCCATTATTTTCAGCCTAGACTTGTTGTCATATGAGTTTTTTTTTATTTGCGTTTAGGGCCCAATTGCTTACCCCAAAAAGCACAAAAGCAACGTATTTATTGGTGACGGTTGGCTTTAAGTGGTCTCATGCATTTGCTCGTTCGTTTTTTTGACCTTCACTTGCATTTGCACGTTCAATTTAAAGAATTATAGAACATTGCATGAATTTTCAATTTATATTGATACTATCCTAAAGATTTTCATTATTATTTTGATCTATTAGCCATTCCTAACTAATCACATTATTTTGTCTATAGCTGTTCCACTTAATACACTAATTAACTAACATGGCAAGGCGTCGTAAATTAAATCAAAATGAACTATGAAGATCTACGTACGATCTTGTTGATAGCTTTGGGTCGGACTAAGAATAATCCACATATATAAAGCACTGAAACCTTAGCCAACAATAAGGCAATTGCATAACTCTCTCTCTCTCTCTCTCTATATATATATATAAACACACATACGTATAAAAATTTGCAGCACTCATTGCAACATATGTATTTACTTCCTCCTATCCTAACGTAAGAGTTAGATAGTTAATTTAAAAAAAATTAAGAAATCTAGTTAAGTTAGTTATTTATAACAAATATGTATTGACTTTTTTAAATTACTCTTATTCAATCATGTACATTGAAACTATACTTAGATAGAAATAACCTACAATCAATAAATTAAAGATATTTTTTATAACACATTATAAATTTAGAAGATAAAACAGATTGCGGTCTTATATTTAGAAATATCAAATAACTTTTATATTTAGGACTGATGATAGTATTATACACTGGCTAGGGAATTAGCCTAGTTTTGTTATCAATTTTTTTATAATTAAAGTTGTTATTTCTTAAAATGAAATACTCATGAATTTTCAGATCACCATTAACACATAAAACTCAAACCTAATTTTCAAAGTACTAATTATCATTGTTCAAGGTTTTATCTTCCATTATCACATATATAAAATTGCCATTTTCTTAAAGTGAAATATCTGTTTGTTCCAAGATCACTCGCTTCTTAATTAATAATTCTTTGATCACCTCTAAACATAACAACAAATCGAGGAGGGAGTATATGTCCACACCTAGTATCGTTATTTTACAAAGGAACTTAATTTCAAACAAGTCTTATGAATATTGTAGCGGGGGTAAAGCATTTTGAGAGGTCATGTTGTTGGTTTTGTAAGTCCTTATTATGTCTTTCTTCCAATGAAAAATAAATGCAAAGAAGTCTCAAAAAATTCATTTTTTTACAAGTTTTACTCATAAATAATGTAATTTAATTCGAGTTGTAAATGTAAAAGTTTAACTTATAACGTAAATTATTAAATTTGATTTGTATTTGTTCAAATTCAGCATGTAAATATGAATTTTTTGTAAGATTTTTTTATATTTAATATATTTTCTTACCTAAGATTTATAGATAGATTTTTTTTTTTAATATATCACAACCACAATACCCATTTGCTAGGCAAGAACAAACTGCTCAGATCCAACAACCATGGTCATATTGACAACAAAAGCCAATAACAGGAATATATATATATATATATATATAGATAAACCCAATTCAATCATGCATTTCCAATTTGCAAGATTTTACTATGTCTTGAATCTAAACATAAGACATTAATTTATTTTTTCTTCTAAGTTTATAATTTTTTTTTGCGAACTACCCATACTATTAATGGCATGTGTTAAGGGGATTGATTTCATCAAGTAGTAGTTTCAAAAACAAATGATTAAAGAAGATATTTTAAGGAAACCAATACACTTTTTTGTTTTTTAACAAATAACTAATTTAACTACTATCTCCCGTCCTTAACATAAGACCTCGTTTGACTTTTATTTTGGTCATAAATAAAAGACCCCAATCCACTTTATATCTAATATTTATGCATTTTTTTTCAAGATAGTCCTTTTAATAATGGTAGTTCTAGCCAATGCACTTGATTAGCAAGGATATTTTAAGAAAAACAACACCTATTTATTACAAATAACTAACTCAACTTCTTTCCTTAATCTTTTCAATTAGTCAACTAGCTCTTATAATTAGGACTGGAGGTAGTAACTTTTATAATATCTATAAATTAGTTATTTAACTCCTATATACTACCTATATTAAGGGCTAATTTGACTTTTAATTTGGTTATAAATATAATATCCCAATTCACTTTATCTATCATATTTATCTATTTTTTCTAAACTAGTAGTTCTTGTAGTAGTTGCATATGTTAAAAGTCCAATCAAATGGTAGTTTTAGTTAGTACATGATTAGCAAGAATATTTTAGGAAAAACAACACCTAATTATTACAAACAACTAATTTAATAAACTTCCTTAATCTACTCAAATTAATCACCTTGCTCTTATATTAAAGACTGAAAGTAGCATAAGAATCAGAGTAAGTACATTCTTTCCTCAAACAATCATATTGATTGCACGTACTAGAATTTTCATTAATGAGTATAGTTTCCAATGTAAATGATCAAATAGTACTTTTAATTAAATAAATCAACACACATCTATTATAAATAACTAAAATAACTAATTTTTCGTAATCTCTTTAAATTAATTATCTAACTCCTATATTTAGTATCAAAAGGAAAGGAAATATCTATTGACATCAACATGTTTTTTGAAGAGTGTCCCAAAGAGAAAGACGTTAGGCTAAAGTGTTGTCCCATTAATAAGTGTGGTTTTTAATATCTCACCCATATATGTGGGGGGAGGCCATGGGATATATCATATGCTCATCAATTTCTATTGACTCCTTATGAATACGACCCATATCTGTCTTGCTTTTTCCATATACATTAACATTAGATATTTCTGTATCTTAATTCCACACTCCCCAAAAATATCTATTTTACCGTACAAACTAATTTATTTTGAACATAGACATAACTAACACCAAAATGGTTACATCAGGATCAAATGATGAAAAGATATATTGACCGAATGAACTTATTCGTATTAAGTGAAAAAGGTTAGTTGGCAAATTTGAATGTTTTTTTTGCATATGTGGCATAAGAATAATCTTGCTATCATGTTTTATGATCCCATGTTTAACTGTTAACCGACAAACTTGTGGAGCTTATTAACAGTATTAAAAAAGATATATCAATTTAAGTAAGAGACAATATTGATATTTGAGAGATACTCTCTCCACTTCCTAACATAAAAGCTAGCTTTCATCAAACTACTTTGTTTTTTTTAAATATATTTATCATTTTTTCTGAACTAATTTATCTAACTAATAAACTTATATATATAACCTAACATTATATTATAGAAGAATATTTTAGGGGACAATATCATATTTATTATAATTTATTTAACTTTTTACTTAATCTACTCAAATTAGTTAACTATCCTGAAGAGAGATTTTCTAGCAGTAATACTGTTAAATTTTCCAACAATTATATGAGTCGGATTATAAATATGACCGGAGGTGGGAGAGGGAGCATGTGTACATCTATGAAAGTTTATTAAACTTAAATGACAATGTCCTTAAAAGGCATGCTAATTCTTTTTTTTTTTAACTTGTTTCCTTTTAATTTATCATTTGAATGTCGCAACAAATATATTTTAATTTTGAAGATGAGGAAACAAATTAGTTAACCAATAAGGCACGGCATATAGTTAGAAGATGGCTTGATCTCTTGAACATTATGAGGGTTTCAATCCTAGACAAAGCCTGTTTATGATCTCTTCGGTTCAAAAGCGAATTAGTCCTTAGTTATTGTGGAGGATCTTTAATTATATAACTATCACACCAAAAAATAAAAGGAAAGAAAAATAACAGCAAGGAAATCAGATATTAAAGTGAAAATACATTTAACATAAATGCCTAGAAAGTAGCTAGGATATGCCACAAAGAGAACAGTCCCACACTGTTATGATACTATACATTAACTGTTAATTTATTAATCTATATTTATACTGCCACATTCATGAAGTGCTACTGAATTTCACAACTCTTGTCACAGCTTTCTCAGTATCATTATATTGCGAGGGAGAGAAGGGGAGATTTTTTTCTTCTTTTTTTTGAGAGTTCTAGAAGGTATATTAGCACAACTAGAAACATGGGTAAGTATAATAGTTAGTCCTTATAGTTTTATTTCATTTTGATTTTGATTTCTATAATTTAAAATCATAAGTTTTGGTCTCTCAAAAAACAAAATGGTTCATATTTTTATTAAAATATAGAGGCTAACGTTTTAGACAGAAATAAACTTGGGGGACTACAATCTATGATTTGAAACTATATATAGGGATTAAAGTTAAAATGAGAACAAATTATAATAACCAAGTAATTTGGAAGAATTTAATTTTCAAAAGGGTAAAAAGATGTGGTTGTGAGATTAATTTCCCTCCCATGCATGTACAATCAAAACAGTCTGGATGCAAGATGTGGGATGTGAATAGTAATGGGACCATTCTTGAAAGAGATGCATGCACAACACCTTCACAACACACTCTATAATAACACTCTCTCGACCTACTTATTAATATAATCCCACCACTATTGGAGAAACCCCTAACTAGCTTTCTACCAGATGCCGCTCCCTTCTCTCTAGACAGTGCCGCTTTAATCTCTCAAAAATCCCTTTTTCTTTCTCTCTCTCCGCCGCAGACGGTGGTGGTGCCGCCTTATTATTTCATAAAAAATGAGTCAGATTTTCTCAGCCATTGAGTACTACCTGGTGAAGCAACCTTCCATTGAGAACTTCACATGGATTCCCAACAAAACCCTAGCTTCATCTCCTCAATTTCTCGTCTTCACCGTCTTCTGTTACCTCTCTTTCACCTTCTTCCTCTCTCGTCTCTCTCTCCCTCCTGTTCCTCAGGTCATCCTCAAACCCATCACCGCCATCCATAGCACCGTCCTTCTCCTCCTCTCCTTCGTCATGGCCCTCGGTTGCATCCTGTCCACCATATCCCATGCACCTCACTTCCAGTGGATCATCTGCTTCCCGCCGAACACCCCTCCCTCCGGCCCCGTTTTCTTCTGGGCCTACGTCTTCTACCTCTCGAAGATTCTAGAATTCATCGACACTCTCCTGATCATCTTGTCAAACTCCATCCAACGCCTCACGTTCCTCCACGTGTACCACCACTCGGCCGTCGTCGTCATGTGCTACATTTGGCTCCAGACGTCTCAGTCGCTGTTCCCGTTGGTGCTCGTGACCAACTCCTCCGTGCACGTGCTAATGTACGCCTATTACTTATCGTGCGCACTTGGGGTTCGTCCCAAGTGGAAGAAGCTCGTGACGGATTGCCAGATCGTTCAGTTCTACTCCAGCTTCGTCGTTTTGAGCCTTATGCTGTTCTACCACTATTCTGGGTCGGGTTGCTCCGGAGTTTGGGGCTGGAGCTTCAATGTCGTTTTCTATGCTTCGCTTTTGTTTCTGTTTGTTGACTTCCATAAGAAGAATTACGGGTCGAACTCGAAGAAGATGACGATGGCCTGTGACGAGGATGACGACAATTACAACGTTAAAACTTGGAAGCCTTTGATTTATAGTATTCCCAAGTAGAAATCATCATCACAAATTAATTTTAAAAAGAAAAGACTCAATCTGTGGAGGAAAAAGAAAGAAAGAATATATTATGAGATAAACCAGTTTTTCTTATTTCTTGATGGTAAGTATGAAAGGGACAGTGATGATGGGTATTGGGTCAAGTTAAGTTTCATGTTGTTTCTTATAATTCGTCTGTGATCTGTCTTTTCTTTCCTTTTCCTTTTTTATTTCCTCTTTTGTGGAATATTGTTATTTGGCCAATTTCAACTTATATATTACATGCATGCATTCACATGGTGAAAGGAGTAGTTTGAAGAAACCATATAATTTTGTTTTAATTAATTAAATGTAGCTCTTTTGTGTGTTTTGCATGGGATGATCTATGATAAGCTGAATTGTTAATTAATTATAATTTGAATTTTTATGGATTTTATATGTGTTTTTTAATATATTATCATCCGGTTAATCTGATTAGGGGCCATAGCTTCTCCTTTCTACAAAAGTGTCTTTTTTCAGACTCAAATTCAATATATACATATATATTGATTCTAGAATTTGAATTATATCTTTTTTAGGAATTGGGAGCGCATTATTATTCCTTAATTAAACTTAATATTTTAGTTTTGATATGGTAGGAAAATTTAATCCAACGAGTAATATTTTATTAATTGTTCTAATCGGGTTAGTTGATTTCTTTTTTTTTTTTTCCCGGTAGTAATTGATTTCTATTAATTTTGAACAAGAAAGAAGAACATGTACAACTTTCCAGTACCAGGAAAGAATATATGCTTTTCTTTTTTTCCCCCTTCAACCAGAGGAAAGAAAACTAACAGATGGGTCCCAATGGAAAACTGAACCCAATCTTCATATCAACTAAAAATGAAAAACTAAAATATTGTTCAGAGAAAACTGTAGATTAACGGCAATAATTGGTGGGATTTACATGGTTATTAATATTAATTAATAAAGATTATTGTTTTATATTGATCCTATACCATCCAAGAAATAGATCTTAGGAATATTATTATTATTTTTTGACCAGATTAGGAATATTATTATATACATTGGTAATTAAAAATTTTAAATAGTTGAACAAGAGTTTACTAGAAGAGACGTTTTAGTACCACCTCAGCTAACATCTGCTTTAATTAATGCATTTTTAATACTAAAGTGCTATTAAATAAAATTTGATATATAGTATACTTAATTAATAACTAAAATGTGTACCCCATTTCTTTGTGAAGGTAAAGGCGTTAGCTGTGAGAAAGACCAACATAAGTAATTAAGCTTGTACAATAATTTTGAGAAAAACGCTTTAGACTATATTGGTTCGATGGTATATATTGTGAGCAAATTTGACAAAAATTTCCCAATCTCGCATCATACTTGAAACACAATGTTAAAAACAAGGTGGCTTGTGTCATAGTTTCGTGATGTCATAAACAACCTTCACACAGAGTCCGTGTACATGTTAACCTTTTACCAAAGCTATGAGTTTATTCTCTATTATAAATTGCTTTCAGCATGTTTTATTGAAATTTAAAAAGTTATTAGCTATGTCTTAAAATTTAATAACTTTTTCATTTCACCTCTATTAATACACACTTTACCTCATGAAAACAAAGTTTATACCATAATAAATAAATGGTAAAATTACACATTTATATGAAAAAAATTTAATAATATAACTTATAAATAGGACGAATGAAACATTTTTCTCTGTCTTATCAATAAGATCATACGGTATTTCTTCGCTAGTCCTATTTGAAAAGTAGAGAGACTTTTTTTGTCATTAATATGTCATAATATCATATTAAATTTATTATATGAATATACAATTTTACTCCTAATTTATTATTTTATAAACTATTATTTTCTCAGAAAATAATATATTAAACATAAATAAAGTTTAAGAGTCATTACTTTTTGATATGAAATTAACAAGGTTTAAGATTTTTCATATCTTCAAGGTCCTCATGAATCAAATGAGATGAGTACTAGGCCCTCTAGTCCCATATATAAGTTTTAAATAATCGAATTATGTTTAATGAACTAGTAGTTAAAAATTGTTAAAAATAATAAATAGGCCAAAAATATTTTTTTAAAATTTTTTCTTTATTTGTTAAGAGAGAAAATGAGAGGCAATAAATGAAAAAAATGATAAAAGAAAATATATGAGAATAATATTAATATGAGAGAGAGTACTAAATACAATCAACTAAAAGTAAAATAAAAAAAAAGTAATAAATACTCAAATGAACTTAAAAATAAAGTTTATATTTTGAATCAGACTTGTCTCTAAAAATCAAGCTTATGCATTCAATTGGAAGGAGCAAATGGGAAGGAGTCAAAGCAATGCAAAAAGACATGTAGTTACAAACTATGAAACCAGCCGTAAGCTTAGGTTCAAGGTACGGCTATTAATTATGTAGGGCATAATATTCTTTGAAGTTGTTGAGGTATTTTATTTTATATTTCGTTTAGACTTTAGAGAGACACTTTGATATGAACAGTACGTTGCGTTTTTATTTCTAAATCGTGTAATAAACGTTACACACACACACACACATATGTTGAGTGTATATATACACACCAATATAGAGTTGGTCTAACAGAATAAAGTCCTACTAATCTTTTTTAATCTCAAGTTTGAGTTAAAATGTCGGATATCGAACGGTAATATTAAAGAAAAGCATGTGTATATATAAAATTAATTTAATTAATATCTCATATGAATAATATACCCTAATCCACATATGTGATTTTAATTAATTCATCGGGATAGAAAATGATAGTTAGCACATTAAATCTTCATGTGACTTATATTTCGAATCAAACCATTCTTTCAGAAATAAGGACTACAGGGAGTATAAATATGTAATTTGAAAAAAGCTCCACAAAAGAACTATGTTCATGCATGGGCATTGAAATATCAAAACAAAAATCTGGAGAATTTGCGTCCCTGCGTAGTGTCCCCATAGGAAGTGTAATAAAGAGAGTGGCAAAGACGGGTTGCTCTTGAATTTTCATTAATAGCTTCATCAGACTCATAACTACCCACCGTTCACTTCATTAATGCACCATTCACTTTTGCATTATTGGCTACCAATGACAACTACGTTGTAGAATAATACCACTCCCATTCCATCCTGAATGTAAATCACTCGTCAAGAAAAATTTAGTCTTAAATGTAAATTTGCAGTATATTTAAGAGTTAAAGAATAAATTTATCTAAAAAGTTTTCATACACAAACACTGAACACTCTGAAGCTTTTTTTGTTGTAAATTTTTTCTGAAAGTTTAAAATCATAACAATAATTGCTTTATTGTCCCACCGTGAAAAATGTTTATTATTAACATCATTATATTTTAACAATCAACCATAGTTTTTAATGGTAAGGAGTGATATTGTTATAATTTTAAATTTTCAAGGCAAATTTCCACCCAAACAAGCTTGCAAGTATTCTTGATTGAAAACTTTTAAGATAAATTTACAATTTAACCCTATGTTTAATGCTTTTTTTTAATTTTACCTATATTTAATTTTTATTGAAAAGAGAGAAAAAGAAAGGAGATGATACTGATTTATAGAATGTAGAGAAAGAAGAATTTAAATAGAGTAAAATTATTGCATGCGAGAATGTGTTAGATGTCACTTATATTAAAAACCAAAATGGTACTGCTTACTTAATTACTGATAATTACGCTTCAAAAGAACTTTTATTGTTAAAAAAAAAAGTAACCTTGGAATATAATATTATACTTTGGCCCCAAAAAAAAATGAAATATAATATTTTAGAAAGATGCACTTTTCTTTTGAATGATTCCATTTTCACTTCCACTATGTTCCTATTTGACTGATTTTGCAGTGAATGGGCAAAGAAAACAGCAAAAGGAGCTGCAACTATGCAGAAAGATTCCGGGAGGTTCTTCCTCGGAAGTACGGCTTATTTGATGATCGTCCTCTTTGGTTATAATTGAAATGTATCTCTTTGTAATTATAGACAGCCCACAGCCTTTGCTTCCTTTAACATTTATTAACAAAAATTAACAAACAAAGATTATATTAGATTTTTTTAAGGTTTATTCTCTTCCGATTTTTTCCCCTCATTTGAATTTTTATCGTTTTTCATTAATTAGATGTTGGTGGTAAAAAAAATTAATGAATGGCAAAAAAAATGTAAAAAAATTAATTAGACTTTTTCTTTTTCATACGCTGCACATAATTTTCTCTGCTAGCATCAATTACTGTGGTCAAATGATGCTTTTTTTTTTTTTTGCGGGAAGGTTAAATGATGCATTTATTACTCAAAGAGTTAATGGTGATGCGATATTATTCTTTTATTAAAATATCGTCAATTTGACGGCTGCAAAGTTACTGCCAGAAAGTAAAGTTTCATGTAAGGCTATAAAAAATGACAAATAAGTCTAAAAAAATTAATATTAATTAAGTTCCCGCGATTAAAGATAAATGTCATTAAGATTTATATAGTTGGGCCTAACATAACTCTTCTCTTTCATCTGGATTTGGGACTAGCCATAAAATATAGGCCAAGTTAAATGGTGAGAAAACCATATTAGATGTACCTATACTTTTTTTTTTTTAACTTGATACTTGTATATTTTTTCTCTTAATTAAATTATTTAATTTTACTATTTTAGCAATATTAACTCTTGTGACTTTGTTCTATTAACATTGGTAGTCTTTATATAAAGGTTAACAATATTAATAGAGCAAAATTAAAGATTCAATAAAGAGAAAAAAACACATAGGTACCAAAATTAAAAATTAAAAAAAAGTATAGATACCACTAAAATAGTTTTTTCTTAAATAGTTCATATATTTGGGATCAATTATACCACAAATGGTAATGTTAATGAAGAAGTCAATCATAAAATTCGAGGTGGGTCATTTAAATAGAAAAAAATTAACAGAGTTATTTGTGATTAAAAAAATATCTAATAAAATAAAAGAAAAATTTTAATGCATTGCCATAAGACAGAAAATTTTTTATGATAGAATATTGGGTTTTAAAGGAATAATATGAGCATAAAGTAGGAATAATCGAGATGATAATGTTGAGATAGATGTCTGGTCATATAAAAAAAAAGAATTCCTAATAAACATATATATTCCTAGAAGAGTTTGCATAACATCTTCGTGCGGAAGAAAAAATGATAGAAAGT